GGCATAAATGACTTCAGAAAAGAAGGACAAAAAGCTATTATTAATATTAATATCATTATTATTAGCAGACAAACCATCTTTCAATGATATAGGATTATAGGTGTCGACGCTCCTCCGAAATGTATCCATGGGCAAGCGGTCTGCTTTGCCTTAGGAAGGACACGAATATAAAGTTGATTTGATGAATATATTTAGGAGGCATTGGAGAATAATATCATGGCCTTCAGATTACCTGAAGGATGTTGAGAGGACGTGTAGGTAAGATACGAGTTCTACAGCTAGCGTACATTTAACTTTGCTCGCGCTACATTCTCCAAACTCTACAGTGTAATAGTATTAGGTTATTACAGGGATATTGTGGTCTTTATTTCAAGTGATTCTTCAAATATGTCCGATACCCAACAGTAGCCTTTAAGGGAGTGTCTTGCTAGACATGGTAGTTTAACTGAGAATGCAGTACTCTAGAGAATATTTTAGAAACCATTTGAGACCTATGAGACGTTAGTACGGTAAATAATTATTTAGAAAGAGAGAAAATTCAATCATTAATGCATGGCATGTGATTTTTAAAATACTTCTCTAATATACTGGATTCTCAGCTCAACTACCATGTTTAGTCGGACACTCCCTTTAAACACCATGTCTAGTCAGACACTCCCTTTAAACCTTTGTCTAATATTGGATGAATAAGATCTCCCATTTTATAGCTAAAAATTGTTACCCAGTTAAAAGATTAAAGGGTACCGATGTGAATCAGACATGCTACATTTTAAATGGATTTTGGAACCAAACACTTGTGTGAATGACTTATATTTTGATTGTCATTTAGTATATAATAGGAAATGTCAACCAAACCCAAGTATCAAATATAATAGCTGTTTCAGATAGTCAGGGGGTTTTATTTATAGTGAGCGTGTTTCAGATAGTACTATGCGGCAAATAGAACATACCACTTAATGGATATTAGAGGTATCTTCACCGATCATACATTACTGTCGTTTTTACTTTCGCTTTAGGTAAAATGTTTTTCTATCAATTATTTTAATTTTGAAGTTGAAAAACAAGGAAAAGATCAAAATTTAATCTTGCGGATCCCGAAAACCTATTTTCAAAACTAAATCTAACAAATCTAACCTTTCATGAATACAGTTCGTGCGTGTTCAGGGGTAATGTTTAAAGGAACAAGAGCTTTATCTAAGCTGACCAGCTTACTTAACAGCTGCAGGCAGGTACACAGGCAGTCCCTTGAAACAGTTTATACAAAATTGGAAAATTCTAATAATAATATATGATTTTCAATGTTGTGTGTAAGAACAAATAAGAAATAAGCTGGCTCGAGTTTGATCGAAATTGTGTGGTTTGATGCATTCACACGAATAATACATCTTCAGCAACTAGGTATAATTATTTTTAGAATAAAGTTTCGCTTATACAATAATTTATTTACAGATACATTACTATAAAAATGAGACCAAAGTTTGTCAGTTTTTGTTGATCTAAAGATATAAAAGTAAGATAAGATTTCTGCAAGTGTTTAATTCCGGTTTTTCGCATGTTTTTCTGCAGTAGAATTCCGCAAGTTACTTGTTGACAAAATAACAAATATTAACATTGACATCTAAATCATACTTGATTAAGATAATTATCCTTGAAGGGTTTAAGTGTATAGTTTTAAAATCGGGCATTGCCATCGTTGCATGAAAGGTCATATAAACTTACACTAACCGTCCCTTCAAAAATTAGGTGTGATACATATATAATTTTTTTCTATTTTATCACCTGCCCTTGTCATCCTGGTTCTGGAGGAGGAAAACGTTCTGAAGACAGGGTAGCAAAGGTTCAAGCTGGATAGAATATTAAACAATTAATTTTTTTTTTGCATTTAGCAGTCACCCATCCAAGAACTAACTTAACTCAATATTGCTTAACTTCAATGATCGGACAAGAACTGGTGCTTTTAACATGATATAGCCGTAACCCAACATGGTATAACCGCAGATATGAAATAACATAATATAATAATACAAATAATAATAATAATAAATTCCTTATTTGGTGTACAATTACATAATTTAGAATATTTTTTATCACATGAATCATTTCTAAAACACCAGAGGGCTTAGCTTAGCCCTACTTTTAAATGTATCATTCACAAAATTCCCATTGTTCTGGCATTTCCAAAATGTGGTCTGTCATTTATGTACTTTAATGTTAGCGGAGATATAAAAAATTACGTTCAGACTTTAATTTATTACAAAGAATGAAAATCTTCGCGTCATGTATTTTTTCTAAACACAAAAAAAACAGGCCACACTTTGGACATGCCAGGACTAAGAGTATATTTGATTATTAATTCAAGAATAACGATTTTTCACTGGAAATTTTCATTTTGCTTTATAATAGCCATAGTAAATTGAGAATATAAATCAATTACTTAATATTTATAAAATCATATATCCACTTTTTTCAGGATTCATTTTGAAATTTCGTGTATTTCTTGGTTTGCATGGCAAGAAAACAGTATTACCCCTTTAACAGTGAAACAGATAAAACTGTGAAATAGGAAGACGACATCAATTCAATCTTATCTGTATTTAATGTTGTTATAAAGCAAATTTTTTTACTAGTAATCTAAAACTCAACTTATGCGGAAATGGTGTGTCTACACTGTAACTGCAAAATTTCTGTGTGTCATGTTGATTGGACTAATTCTAATCATAACTTGAGTCTAACAGTCGTCTTCCTATTCCACAGTTTATGGGTCTTATTGTTGTGCTGTGAGTCGGGTTCAAGTGGATAGACAAAACCCGCCAGTCCCGGGTTGCAAAAATCTTAAGGTTTTTTTTAAGTTCTCGGATATGCACCCAAATGTAATACAAGCTAGCCTGGAGAATGGGAAGGGAAACCTGAACGTTTCAGCCTGATCCCTTGAAAACTCTTATTTAGTAACGGGCTCTGTGAGTCGTGTTCAAGTGTAAGCATAATTTCAAGTGACCCTCCATGCAAAAATACCATGGTCCGATTCACAACAGTATCCTTAAAACCATTGTTTCTGATCAATGATATTAAAGTATTTAATTTTTATATGCTTTCCTGCAGTAGAAATACACAAGTCACTTTGGTAGAGAAACCACATTTGAAAATAATCAGTTTTTAAAATTATCAACGTTGATATCTAATTCATACATGATCATACAAAGCTTTCAAGGTACCGTTGTGAATCGGGTATTGACATCTTTTCATAAAGGTTCACTTCAAATTTTGCGTAGAGTCCCTTTTATAGAATATGAAACCAAGGCTTTGTAATAATATATTCTACCTTGATAACATTCGTTAGAATATTAAGAGAGTCCCCAGTGATGAAGGAGATGAGAGGAGAGAGAAAACTGAAGTAAGAGTCCCACAAGTCAGGATTCTGCTGCCTAGATAAGAGGTCAGTAAGTTGGTGCTTAATTTAATGATTAAGTTAAAAAGTAATTTAGTGAGTAAGTTAGTGACTGAGCTAGTAAGTGGTTAATGAGTAAGTTTTTGGGTAAATTAATGAGTAAGTTAAAGATTAATTTAATGAGCAAGTTAGTGATTAAGTTAGTAGGTAAGTTGGTGAGTAAGTTTGTGAGTAAGTTAGTGAGTAATTTAATGAGTAATTTAATGAGTAGGTTAGCGATTAAGTTTATAAGTAAGTTAGCGAGTAAGTTTATGAGTAAGTTTATGAGTAAGTTTATGAGTAAGTTAGTCAGTAAGATAATGAGTAAGATAATGAGTATGTTAATGAGTAAGTGAATGAGTAAGTGAATGAGTAAGTGAATGAGTAAGTGAATGAGTAAGTGAATGAGTAAGTTTATGAGTAAGTTTATGAGTAAGTTTATGAGTAAGTTTATGAGTAAGTTTATGAGTAAGTTTATGAGTAAGTTTATGAGTATGTTAATGAGTAAGTTAGTGAATAAGATAATGGGTAAGATAATGGTATGTTAATGAGTAATTGAATGAGTAAGTGAATGAATAAGTGAATGAGTAAGTGAAAGAGTAAGTTTATGAGTAAGTGAATAAGTAAATTAATAAGTAAGTTAATGAGAAGTTAATAAGTCATGCCTGAGTGAGGGAGTCAGCGAGTGTTTGAGTGAATGAGAGTTAAGTGTCTGAGTAAGTAAGTAAATGACTGAATAAATGTACAAATTACAGTGAGTGAATAAATGAATGAATGAATGAAAGGATGAATAAATGAATGAATGAATGAATGAAAAAATTAATGAAACAATAAATTGAAAAAATGAATGGAAAGATTACCCCTCGAAAGCTGGAATAGCTGGAAAGCTCAAAAAAAGGATGAAAAATGAATGAATGAAAGAATTAATGAAAGGATGAATGAATGAATGAATGAATGAATGAATGAATGAATGAATGAATGAATGAATGAATGAATGAATGAAAAAATGAATGGAATGATTACCCCTCGAAAGCTGGAATGGCCAGAAAGCTTGAAATAACATCCAAACCGTTCAATCTGTTCAAAGCTTCCTTCCACGCAATATTCTCACTGAAAACAAAACAATTCAAATTAAAATCCAACCAAATATATATCAAATCATAACTCTGGAACCCATTTCAAAGATTTGCTTCCAAATATATTTCCGATCATAACTCTGGAACCCATTTTAAAGATTTGCTTCCAAATATATATCCGATCATAACTCTGGAAACCCTTTAAAGATTTGCTTCCTAATTTATATCCGATCATAACTCTGGAACCCATTTTAAAGATTTGCTTCCAAATATATATCCGATCATAACTTTGGAACCCCTTTAAACATTTGCTTCCAAATATATTTCCGATCATAACTCTGGAACCCCTTTAAAGATTTGCTTCCAAATATATATCCAATAAATAAATAAATAAATAAATAAATAAATAAATAAATAAATAATTAAATAAACATCAAACTTCATCTAGGCCGAATCAAATCAAATCAAATCAAAAAATAATGTAAAGTAATGCATGCATATGAATATGTGTTTTTATAAGTACATATGTTACCTTTATCTAGATAAAGAGTGTAGAGCTATATAGCTTATTTATACAAATAGCAATTAAGACGCCATGACGTCGCTTTTTGCAGAGTATTTGAAGATTTAAAAAAATAGAACGACCCGGTGTGACGTGAGAGTCCGCTCAGTCCTGCAATAATGTCCGGGCTACTGTATTTCGGCCAGAAACAACAAATTTAACAAAATAATTTTAAAGATTCCTTTCAATATTGTGATATTGCAAATTATCATTACAAAAATTTTACATGTGCTAATGATTGAATCTAAAATATCTATGTTTTTTTTTTAAATTCTTTGAGAGAAAGACGACATTTGAACCGGAATATTGTTTTTTTTTTAATGCATTTCATCTAGTATTGCTACATTTAACAACTTATTTAACAACAAAATTTACACACTGCAAGTGTTTACAAATGCTTTTATAATCAAATAACGTGGGAAAGGCGTCAAAGCTATTAAAAAATGCAGTAGCTCGGACCTTATCTCACGCCCGGGCTGATTATCACGTGACACCGGGCCGAGAACTAAATAAACCCAACCCAGTAGTAATCAAACCAAATTTAAAACATATTACAAATTAAAACATAGTAAGTTTAAAACATATTAAACCAAAAAATATATATAAAATCAAATCAAACCAAAATTCAACAGAATTTAGAATACTTGCTAATGTTTACCTAATATCTTGAATAAAGTCCTTGAAGAAATTAAACATCAGTCTATCACCCTCTCTAAGAACAAATAGAAATTATTAAACAATAATCAAATTGTAACTAAATTATATTCAATTTACAATCAAAGAATAATTAAAGAATAATAAAATAATAATTAAATTATAATTGAATTATATTTAATTTACAATTAAATAATAAACAAATAATGATTCAATAACAGTAAAAAAATAGTCAAATAATCATCGTATTAATTTAAAAACCAAAAACTTAACCCTTCATAACCACACAGGGATATAAAAATTTAATTTTCAAAAATTAATTACTTTCTTCTAGATAAGTTTTACCAAAAACTCATTTCCAAAATATTCTTTGTCTTTGTCTTTGTTAGCCAAGTTTAATGAAGAAACTGGAGTTTACGATCAAAAATCGGTGTTTAGGATGACATTTGGCCATTAAGATAGATAAGATAAGATACCAGTCGTATCCTATTCGCTCACAGGAGAGGTCCTCCCAAGTTCCTTCTCCGTGAAACGGAGCCGGGAGCATGGATGAAAGCGGTCCCAGGATTTGGAGTAGTTTAAGCGCTGAGTGGAATGCAGGATTCATCCCAGACAAGATAAAGGAAAAAAGGAAATAAATAGTAAAACTTCATTTTCAGCTTTTCTCTGCCATAAATCTCAGCTGGAAGAAGGAATACAGAAACTCAAAAATCAGGAATGAAGTACACGCTAATACCGGATTTCACTTATCCTGCTCTCAACTCTTTTATCTCTTTTATTGGGGGAGGGGGGGGGGACGCATCGGAAAGGGCTCCATTTGTTCTTTGCAGATGTCGCCATAAAAATTTATATATCGTATTTTAAATTTTTTTTAATACAGGGAGATTTTCCAAATACGCAATAAAAACTAAAAAATTAGATTTCGCTGAGAAGATTTGGTGAAGAATGGAGTGATACGTTAGATCTAATCCAGAGTTTCAAAAAAAAAGTATATTTGTACTCCTCATATGCATAATGTGGTGCAACACTATACGAGTTCATCATTTCCACACAAGTCGGAAATGACTATAAATCACGGAACAAGTAGGATTTTTTTCAGGAAAAATTCCTCTTCCTAACCCTCTCCAAACGTACACCCGCCATGGGCCCCTTTCCACCTCTTCCTTCTAATTTATCAGCTGTAATGAGTCAGGATTCCTGGTAAATGCAATAAGAAAAATGAAATGCCTGGCCTGCAAAATAAAACACGGAACAGGGTGTCCAGCAAAATTCCAGAACTGAATACTTATTAGTGGTTATCGGGACGTCCAAAAAACATTACTTTAAAAATTTAACCAATAACATGATGGAAAATTGAAGCACAGGAAAACAAGAGTGAAGTGCAGAAAATGAAGTGCAACAAGAACAATGACAGGGTGTGTGCAGACGTGTGAGCACCCTGTTTAATTCCTTTGACCATCATCTATCTAATTTATATATATTGTTAAAAACTAAAAAAAAATTAAAAATGTTAACAACAAGATAATATAAGGGACGGATATGAAAAGCCCCCATCTAGGAAGCTAACATGTTGCAGAGCCACTGGATTCGGGTTTAAATATCAAGATACCTGNACAGATACAAACAAGTTCATCTACAAGTAAACAATATCAGAAGGTACAGATACACACAAGTTCATTTACAAGTAAACAATATCAGTAAACAGATACAAACAAGTTCATTTACAAGTTAACAATATCAGTAAACAGATACAAACAAGTTCATCTACAAGTAAATAATATCAGGAGGAACAGATACAAACAAGTTCATCTACAAGTAAACAATATCAAGAGGTACAGATACAAACAAGTTCATCTACAAGTAAACAATATCAGGAGTTACAGATACAAACAAGTTCATTTACAAGTAAACAATATCAGGAGTTTCAGATACAAACAAGTTCATTTACAAGTAAACAATATCAGTAAACAGATACAAACAAGTTCATCTACAAGTAAACAGTATCAGAAGGTACAGATACAAACAAGTTCATTTACAAGTGAACAATATCAGAAGAATTTTACATGACAGGTTTAAAATTGGAGGGTTATTTGACAGTTCCTTAAATTCCAATTCAATTGCTGTCAATATTGAATGAATTTAAAAAAAAGAAATCTCCAAAATCTGCCAAGAGGTATTTTATTTGAAGAATGATTTTTAATAATCTGGGGGGGGAAAATTGGACATCAAAAGGCGCGTTTTTTCGTCCTTTTTGATACTTTCTATTTTATTTTTTTAATTTTTACCACAAAATTATTAATTTTCCCTAATTCAACGAATAAACCCTAGGTTCTTGGGAAAAGTATCATTTGAATGATGGAGGGNGCCAAGTAGAAATGTGGGTGACTTTTCAAGAAAATGTTAGCTCTAAAATCACCTACCTGTTCTCTTCTAACTAGAATTGTCTCCATGATCAATGATGTTGGATTATCTACGTCAGTGATATTCACTAACTCCTATATAATCAAAATAGAGGTATATATTAGAATATGATGGATTATCTACATTAAAGATATTTATTAACTCCTATATGATCAGAATAGAGGTATATATTAGAATATGTTGGATTATCTACATCAGTGATATTCACTAACTCCTATATAATCAGAATAGGGGTATATATTAGAATATGTTGGATTATCTACATTAAAGATATTCACTAACTACTATATAATCAGAATAGAGGTATATATTAGAATATGTTATATTATCTACATCAGTGATATTCACTAACTCCTATATAATAAAAATAGGGGTATATATTAGAATATGTTATATTATCTACATCAGTGATATTCACTAACTCCTATATAATCAGAATAGAGGTATATATTAGAATATGTTATATTATCTACATTAAAATATTTACCAACTCCTATTTAAATAGAATATGGGTATATATTTTAAGATGGGGTAGAGTGAAAAATAGACACTTTGTTCCTAAAAATTCTTTTATTTCCTCCTAAAAATCATTTAATTTCCCTATTTTAGCAAAGCATTCCTACCTTTCTGCCAACATTATCTTTTAACAAGAGGGGGAAGGGGGGCTTTTCAGGAATTGTGAATGTGAGTTTTGATAAGTCTTGAAATTAAATGTCTTAGAATCCGGATATTTGTAAATGTCATTTAATATTATTAAAAATTATAAGAAGCCACCATAACCATACACACTCTACACACGGCTTGTCAGTTGAAATTATATCTACAGTCCCTTAAACACTCTACACACGGATAGTCAGTTGAAATTATATCTACAGTCCCTTAAACACTCTACACACGGATTGTGAGTTGAAATTACATCTACAGTCCCTTAAACACTCTACACACGGATTGTCAGTTGATATACATCTACTGTCCCTTAAACACTCTACACACGGATTGTCAGTTGAAATTATATCTACAGTCCCTTTAACACTCTTCACACGGATTGTCAGTTGAAATTATATCTACACTCTACAGTCCCTTTAACACTCTTCACATGGATTGTCAGTTGAAATTATATCTACACTCTACAGTCCCTTTAACACTCTACACACGGATTGTCAGTTGAAATTACATATACAGTCCCTTTAACACTCTACACACGGATTGTCAGTTGAAATTACATATACAGTCCCTTAAACACTCTACACACGGATTGTCAGTTGATATACATCTACTGTCCCTTAAACACTCTACACACACATTGTCAGTTGAAATTACATTTACTGTCCCTTAAACACTCTACACACGGATAGTCAGTTTAAATTACATCTACAGGCCCTTTAACACTCTTCACATGGATTGTCAGTTGAAATTATATCTACACTCTACAGTCCCTTAAAGGATTGTCAGTTGAAATTATATCTACACTCTACAGTCCCTTTAACACTCTACACACGGATTGTCAGTTGAAATTATATCTACAGTCCCTTTAACACTCTACACACGGATTGTCAGTTGATATACATCTACTGTCCCTTAAACACTCTTCACCACGGATTGACAGTTGAAATTACATCTACTGTTCCTTTAACACTCTTCACACGGATTGCCAGTTGAAATTACATCTACAGTCCCTTTAACACTCTACACACGGATTGTCAGTTGAAATTATATCTACAGTCCCTTTAACACTCTACACACGGATAGTCAATTGAAATTATATATACAGTCCCTTTAACACTCTACACACGGATAGTCAGTTGAAATTATATATACAGTCCCTTAAACACTCTACACACGGATTGAGAGTTGAAATTACATATACAGTCCCTTTTACACTCCACACACGGATTGACAGTTGAAATTACATATACAGTCCCTTTAACACTCTACACACGGATTATCAGTTGATATTATATCTACACTCTACTGTCCCTTTAACACTCTACACACGGATTGACAGTTGAAATTACATATACAGTCCCTTCAAAATCAATCAACTTACATCCTGGTTATGAAGGGTTAGCAGCATCTTTACAACCAGGATATTCTTCCTAAAATAATAAACACACTGTTAATTCATTTAGCAACACCCAGTTAATTATGGAACACCAAAGTTTGTTTTGAAACAGCCAGTATATTTTGAAACACCCTGTATATTTTGAAACACCCTGTATACTTTGAAGCACCCAGTTTGTTTTGAAACACCCTGTTTACTTTGAAACCCCAGTTTGTTTTAGAGCATCCAGATTATTTTGAAACACCCAGCTTATTTAAAAATACCAACTTTATTTTAAAACCCCCTGTGTAGAGAATACTCTTTAATACCCAGGATATTTCTAACAAAAAAAACCAAATCAGACTTCAGACTCGAAATGACTGTAATAAATCAAATCTTAAGTTTAGGGTTACTATTTGTAATACTTCAGTTTGGAGAAAAATATGGTGAATTTGTTTCTTGATTACAACGGACCACCTACTGACATTCCACCATTGTACCAATCACAGATACCACCCACCATTTTATGAGTAAAATCTATGTATATTAAGTTGTAATCTCTGTTTGTTTGTCCGATCATAACTCAGGAACCTATTCAAATCAAATCAAATCACAAAGGGCGGGGATGACAATGGACTCCAGTAATGGATTGGAGGTTCAAGTCCTTTCCGTGTCCTGGTTTTTCAGTCTGGACTTCTTCCTATTATTAAAATATCCCATCTCTCATCAACAGTTTTTTTGTAAAGCGCGAAGTTCCTTGCCACACGACCAAATTTGAGCCATGCCTATTAACCGATTTGCCTCAAATTTTTATAGGGGAACTCGGGAAAACCACGGTAATGTGCTTAGGTTTTAAGATTCTAAGTTGAGTGGGTCCACTTGTATGAGAAAAATAGCTAAAATCGTAATTTACTACCAAGCAGGGGTAAACGGCGGGACTAACTATGAGTACCCTGGGCAACACTGGGTTCTCAAAATAGTATATTAAAAAGGACTCTTTTTCTAAAAAAACAACCTTGTATTTGTATACCCTGACCTGAGAAGAGAGGAGAGGATTACAGCAGACATAAATCTCATCTTCTCATCATCTCCACTATATTCAGATATTTAATAAAATATTCAGATATTCAATATAATATTTAATCAGACCGCCATCGTGTTAATGAAACCCGTTCAATCCGGTACTCAGAAATTTATCCTATCTAGGGATTTGGCACAAAGTATGTAACCCGGCAGGCACGGATACAGGAGGGGGATCAAGGGGTCGAAGACCCCCTTCTTTGAAAAATGGGGGGTCAAGAGTATCTTTTGACCCCCCCCCTTTTCTAGAGATCAACTTAAAGTTTACTGTGGATTTTTAACCAACACTGTAAGTAATTGAATATGATTCTTTCCTATCTTAAAAATTAAGTTTATCATGCTTTCAGCATTGATAGACATTATTATTGTTTTTTGTAACATTACAGCGACATCAAAACGATGTAGAAATTTTACAAAAGCAAAAATGTATTCTACTTGGAATTCTAATTGGAATGTTTTAAAAATAAAATGTTTACAAAAATCAGAAAAGGGTCCCTTTTTTCTAAATTGGGATATCCTCGACCTAATTTAAAAATACAGTTCTAAGGTGGCAATATTTTTACATATTAGTAAGAGTAATTAGCTATTTTGAGCAATGAAAATACTCACTCTGTATGCGAATTCCTTAAAAAAATGGCGGAGGGCTCCCCCTGCTTGCTCGCAAGATTCGCTCGGTGCTTCCCCCCCCCCACATAACAGTAGTCCCTTTAACACTCTACACACGGATTGTCAGTTGAAATTNCGTAAAACGCGTGTTATCTTTTCAGTATATTAGTGTTTACATGCCAAATGTACTGCAGAAGATATAGTGTATATACCTGTACAATGTACTGCAGAAGATAAAGTGTATAAATCTGTTAAATGTAATGCAGAAGATAAAGTGTTTATAACAGTACAATGTACTGCAGAAGATCTAGTGTATACCTGTACAATGTACTGCAGAAGATCTAGTGTATACCTATACAATGTACTGCAGAAGATAAAGTGTTTATAACAGTACAATGTACTGGAGAAGATCTAGTGTATACCTTACAATGTACTGCAGAAGATCTTGAGTATACCTGTAGAATGTAATGCAGAAGATCTAGTGTATACCTGTACAATGTACTGGAGAAGATCTAGTGTATACCTTACAATGTACTCCAGAAGATCTAGTGTATACCTGTACAATGTACTGCAGAAGATCTAGTGTATACCTTACAATGTACTTCAGAAGATCTAGTGTATACCTGTACGATTACTGAAGAAGATCTGGTGTATATACCTGTACAATGTACTGCAGAAGATCTAGTGTATACCTGAACAATGTACTGCAGAAGATCTAGTGTATACCTGTACAATGTACTGCAGATCTAGTGTATATACCTGTACAATGTACTGCAGAAGATCTAGTGTATACCTGTACAATGTACTGCAGAAGATCTAGTGTATACCTGTACAATGTACTGCAGAAGATCTAGTGTATACCTGTACAATGTACTGCAGAAGATCTAGTGTATACCTGTACAATGTACTGCAGAAGATCTAGTAGTTTAACTGTTCTATTGTGAGTAGTGCTGGGAATACTGTGAAGCAATCTAAACAATATCCAATAAATAAGTTTCATGTGGCCCTTTATTTAAAGAATTGAATGACCAGATTAATCCATTTACAATTGTAAGATATTCTGCACAAAACTCACTTTGATAGAACCCGATGTTTTTAGATAGAAAAACAAGAATATCTCTTGCTTAGACAATGAATGAAAAGGTATGTTTATGAACATCTAATGATGCAACTCTTCTAATGGAAGATCATTAGAAATATAATGACCTGAACAGCAAGTATATGATATGATATCCTGGAAGTGAAAATTAAAGATTTTTGACTCAATGAGCCTTATGCAAATAAGCATCTCTAGTTGAAACTCAATAAATATTGATAAATAAACTACTGTACCTAGCAAGGACAGGAAGCAGTTGACCAGCTTTCTGAAAATGTAAACAATTAGATCTTTAACTCTTAAATCAATCTTTTTGCCTCATTTCCGTCTGTTAGTAATTTTTTCGTCTTTTATTGTCTCTTTTTTTTCTTTTTTTTCTTTTTTGTTTCTTTTTTGTTTCTTTTTTGTATCTTTTTGGTCTCCTTTTTTCTCTTTTTTGGTCCCCTTTTTGCCTCTTTGTGGTCCCCTTTTTGTCTCTTTTTTGGTCTCCTTTTTTCTCTTTTTTGGTCTCCTTTTTGTCTCTTTTTTGGTCCCCTTTTTGCCTCTTTTTGGTCCCCTTTTTGCCTCTTTTTTGGTCTCCTTTTTGCCTCTTTTTGGTCCCCTTTTTTGTCTCTTAAATGAATAAATGAATA